GTTTTGGGGGGGGGGGGGGGGGGGGGGGGGGGCAGTTCTAGGGGGAAGGAAGGGGAAGGAAGCCGTACACGCTCTGTATGCTCGACGGATAGCTTTCCGTTTGGTGTAGAATGGGGCCGTCGAGTGTATGCACGGCCACCTATGAATAGGAGCACGAGGCGCGGTCATCGAGACGAAGAGATAGGGGCTCGTGTGCGTGTGTGTGTGCATGCGTGTGTCTCATGGATTGGTATCGGCCGCGCCAACCGGCCGACCAATAAAAAAGTACGTCAGTCTTGCAGCGGGAAAAAGAACGCCAAGACGCTAAGGGTTCTACCGACGGTGTGTGTGTGCGTGCCGGGCAGAGAGGAGAGATGTGTAACCGAAGTCGGAGGAGCGAGGAACGAACAGCTAGTTCCCCCCAACCGGACGATGAGTAACGGAAGTCGGAGAGAGGACGAAGGGCGAACTCCGCAGCGACGCGACCGATTCGAGGCCGCAAAGACGAGGGCACTTCGCACCTCACGAGGCATTGAAAAGTGGGACGCATGTTCGGGAGGCAGGGGAGGCATGCGGGGGGGGGGCAGGGGGGAGTTTTTCTCTACTGCCGGTTCAAACGTGACCACAACAACACCTTCGCACCTAGGCGGCGTCAAGACTGCGACTCACTCACTATACACCTTGCCTCTATTCTTTACACCTTATTGGAGATCAGAACCAAAAGAATGTTGAAATTGTTTGCTGTGGAACCATCTTAACAGCAGTACCCAGTCCTCTATTTCCTCTTTTTTCACTTTCGTTTCTGGAGATGTCGTGGCGGCCGGAGGGAGCTTGTGCGGAGCGAGGCAGCGGCAAAAAAAAAATTGTTAACATTGTTTGCTGTGGAACCGTCTTTACGGCAGTACCCAGTCCTCTGTTTTTCTCTCTTTCACCTTCGTTTCTGGAGAAAGAGAAAAAAACTTGAAATTGTTTGCTGTGGAACCATCGTACAGCACTACCCAGCCCTCTGTTTTCTGTATCTCTCTCACTTTCGTTTCCGAGGAGCGTGTGCCCTGCGATGATCAGGAGGCTGCACAGGACTTGGCCAGGAAGGCGAAAATCTTTGAGCTCCTGCTTGGATGGACGACAGCGGCAAAAGCAGCGACAACAACAACGTTAACAACAACAACAACAGCAACTAGGATCGACGAGGAGGCCGACGTGCCGACGAACCGACCAATCAGGGCGCCCCGATAAACGCGTTCTCTCCTCCGATGGTGGACAACATAGAAGAAACCCGAAAAAAAAGCGTTGTATCTACTACTGCCAAACGACGCCAACACAAGCTCCGTGTCCAAGGGTTAACACACAGCCGTGCTTGAAAGGTGATAGCCTGGAAAGAACGGAAACGTGAAGTGAGGGGACACCCGCCCCGCGCAACGTCACAAGCCGAACTCAAACCATCAGACTATGTAGCCAACGTTGACCATTAGTCCAATGGTTGCTGACTATAGGTTCGACTTGGGCTTATCCAAAGCGCCCACCCACCTTTACCACAGCTGTCAAGAACAGGTCCGGGTACGCCCTGCACATCCTCACTGCGAAGACCTCCATGTGCTGCCGGACCGGCGGGAGCGCAGTGCGTCCGTGGACCGGCCAGAACCACTCTGAGATGGCCTTGGCAAGCTGCACAATAAACAAAAAAAAGTGGGTGGCTGATCGAGTCGGTGTTCTTGGTCTGATGCAGAGAGGATACCCCGTGTTTTGGGTGCGCTGTTATTTCGGTTGCTTGTGTGTGTGTGTGTGTGTGTGATTTTATTAGATTTTTTCGTTTTTGTTGTTTTCCTTCTTCTCGCATGATTTGCGCTGCGTGATCACGAACTGTTTTTGTTGCGGTGGATGACGCGAGAAACAACTCTTGAAGCAGCACACGCAGCAACGACAACGACTACAACAACGACGACGGTGACAGCGACGAACACAACAACAACAGCAAAAACAAAAACAACAATAACAACCACTTGCGGCAACCTCGCCTCGTTGGGTCTTTGACTCATGTCAAAACTCAAGAGCAATCGCAAGCGGGAACAAGGCCGCGAAACGTACGTCCTCTAGTGCCCTCCCTTCCTGTTTGGTAAGTGATTATTCAGTCACTACCTGCTGTGGCCTGAGCTGCTCATAGTAGAACGTGTCCCCCGCGTTTCTGAAGGGAAAACGAGCCCGAAACGTCAGCCACACGCGAGTAACCTTAACTATCCTTACCTCTCGTCTGCGTCTATGTGGCTGTAACAATGGTTTCTCAGCTATACGCGGCGCAACCATCGATAGACCGCGCTCAAGTGCTGCATCGACCACTGGAGCGTCGTTGCAGTCTACGGTGCCCCCCCCCCCCCCCCCCCCCTCTTCTCGTGTCCCAACGTCCCAAGGGTCTCTTGCACAATCCCCAAGGGGCCCCCTACTCCAAACCCTCCGAAACAGTCCGTGATTTCTCAAACCAACTCTCTCACCCCTTTGTGGGCGAAAAAAAACCCTGGTTTTTCCCCATCCCGCTCTCTCACATCCAAAAAAAAGCCCTCCCCGTTCAACTCTCACCTCTAATTCCCATATCCCCCTTCCCTTAAAACCCCCAGGGGATTTCTAACCCCCCCCCCAGGTTCTCACCTTTGCCCGCGCGTGGCCCTCTCCCTCCCAAAAAACCCTGTCCCAAAAATAACCCCACAAAAAACACAAAACCCGCGGAACAAACATGACAGCGGTCAAAAACCCTAAAATGGGGCAGGTAACAAGTAAAGGAAAAAACCACCAACAACGCCAGGGACTTGTGCGAAGCTGGCGGTCCGACCCAAAAAAAACCCCTACTGGTGAATCCCCCCTTTTCCC